ATTTCAAATATGGTAAATAAAGATAGAAATAACCCACATAAGCAAAAGGTCTTTACAGACCTCAGTAATTTTAATTTTTAATTATGATAAAATACATATAACATAAAATCTACCATTTTCACTATTTTTAGGTATACATGTCAGTATCATTAAATCACAAGATTACACAGCCATCCTTTTGCAGGACTGTTGCACTTAGCGTAATGTTCCTGTGTTGTAGCATGTATCAAAATTTTACTTCTTTTTGTGGCTTAATAATATTTCATTATGTGTATATACCATGCTTTGTTTATCCATTTAACTCCGCTTTACTCCAAGGTACAATATAAGAGCAACTGTTATATTGGGTGTAACTGTTAATGTTGGTAGTTTAAATAGCAGATTATTGGTTAAATAATAAATCATATGGTATAGAATCTACATATGTATAGGCTGTGGATTATGGAGTTCCTTTCCCATACATTTTTTAATAATCCAGAGAATGAGAAATTCAGTCTGGTATTAAACTGTTGTCATAATTGAGGTAACCTTTAGTCATTTAACTCTTGCTTTCCCCACAGTGTTGACAGTACTAGCTTTATAAAGGTTAATCTCTTTGAAAACATAAGCTTTATTCTTTTAAACTGTTAATAATTACCTGCATGAAAGTTACTCTAATAAGGTTAAACTCTCGTTTTATTTTTCAACTTTATTGATGGCTATTTCAGTCCTGCTATCCTGTAATTTTACCGTTACTTTTATCGACCAAAAACGGTGGTTGGTACATAGTAGATGCTTAATAAATAAATATTTATTGAGTCAATGAATATTCTCAGCTACACAGTTACACTCTTTTGTATTATTTTTATATATTATACCACTAAAGTTATCTATTATTTGTGCATTTTACTAGTTTAATTCTGATAGGTACTCATTTTCAGGTTCTTAAATTTTATTTAACTTTGTTCCTGTATATTAACAAAGATTTGGCTTTTGTTTTTAAGAGTTTTAACACTCAATTTTTTCAACACTATGTGCCATGTTTTTAACCTTTATTAAGTTACAGAGCCAGAATGTCAGTGAACGTAGTTATTCTTGGCTTCTGTGCTTATGAATCAGATCGTAACTGTCTCTTTCACTTTGGATTTGTGGTTTCTTGAACTATTCAAGTGATGCAAAAGATGAGTCTTGCTAGGCGTTCCCTCCCTTTGAAAGTAGATTTGGTGTTTTATTGTAAACAGGTTTTCTCCAAGGAAACTTTTCTCTCCATTTTCTTACTCGATCATCTCCTTAGGGAATGAGAACTATACTTAATGATCCCTACATCATTTTATTATTAAACTATTTGTTACTCATGTCTGTGTTGGTTTTTATTTTATTTATGGATATTTAAAAAATATTTCCAGGGTTTTTGAGACAACTTCATTCTGACTTAGTCTTTTGCTGATTACTGGACATTTTCCTTTGGGTCAGTCTCCACCCACTTTGGGAGTTGTGAATGCTCACCACCCTTTTATTGGTTTCCTCTGGCCACTGAGTGCATGAGTAAGTGTCACATGCAGGTGGTGTCGCTTGTCAGAGCGTGGAATCCTGAGACTTCCTCTTTACATAGAGCAGTTTAACTTCTGTGCTTCTGGGAAGAGGCATGGTCTTTGGGACAGTTCTGCTCCCACCTAGCAGTTATGGTAGAGATCAGAACACGCCGCTCTGCTGCCTGCGCGGCGAGGCCTCGGGACGTGCTCGACCCGCCTTAACAGGTAGGGTTCAGAGTGGGTAGTTTGGTAACCATATTAATCAGGCATGAATGGAGAGTTCAAAAAATTAATCTCATCTACTGTTACTGTTTTCATTCTTGGTCAGCGAAGGTTTATGTGCCATTTTCCTGGTATTCCGTAATAGTATTCCAATAAATATTTATTGAATGGAAGAATATATGAATAATATATAATACTTTGTGATAATAAGATATATATGGTTTGATGTGAAGAATTTAGGCTACGTTGAGG